GCGAATTCATAACTTTAAAACTTCAAAGGAAACATAGCATCTTTTAAACAACTTAATTCAAAGAAAACAACTTCTTAAAATAACAACTTGAAATAAACTTAAAACATCATAAAATCAAATAAGCGTTCATTCCCCCCCCCCCCCCCCCCCCCCCCGCGAGTGCTACGTATCAGAGCGACGAACCAACAAGCTACTAAGTCTCTACTCCTCGTTACCTGCACGTTACTAGTATAAAGGCAACAGCGAAACAAATAAAGGGGTGGAACATCGAATAATAAAAATAAGATTATGATAATTAATATATTAGACAAGAGCATTATAAACTTCACTGCTTCTCAACAACACACAACAATCAATAAACATTCACAATTATCATTAGCGATTCAAAGTGCAATTCGAATACGACACAACTGTGCATATGCATGTGGTACCAACAGGGCTTCACCCCTCTTCACTAATTTCCAATTAATAGAGGCACAAGGCATAAGCCTACTTCACAAATCTGCCAATACAGGCCTTCACAAAATGCAAATGTATGAGACTCATGTAACATACAAAATCACATATATATCATTCACCACAAACTTCATTACGAGGCATTCGCCTACATCCCTGCATCACTGGAAATAAGCCTAACACTTCACATATTCAATCACATCTCAATCATCTCAAACATCTCAATTAACAACATCTCATAACATCAAAATAATTTATTAAACATCATTTATTCATCATAATTATCAAGCACAACTCTAATAATCACATCTCACTAATAACTCAGTTGTATATTAATAATACAGTCGGCCATACTATTATTCTGCAGTTCTACTTCACTCCTGTCATTAATCCTACCGTCATAATTCTAACAGCAGCCTCTAACATCTTAAAATTCATCATTCTGTCCTAAAAATAGCACAACGGTCATCTACGGGAATTAATCCTAAGTCCTAAATTAGTTACTGGAATTACACCTCTTAATCATCATTTTAATCATCTAAAATAGAGTTCATCGTGTTAGCTAGTCAACGCTTCGAACGACATCTCAAACAGCATCATATAACTCAAGTTACAGCAACTTAAAAACTGATCCTGTCAAAATTATTCAGTATGCATCGACACAAAACACTATGCACCGACTCATCCTGCTTCTTCCTCACGCTATGAGTCGACGCATCCCCCTATGGATCGACTCATTCTGCTTCAAAACCCAGCAAGTATCGACACATGCATCGTACAGGTCAACTCATCCTGAGTCTCACACACTCATGCATCGACACATCCTTCCTTTGCGTCGACTCATCCTGAGTCTTGTACTCATTATGTATCGATGCAACCCTCCATGAATCGACTCATCCTGAGTCCAGCAGCCTCCTTGCATCGACTCATCCAGTTTGAGGTTGATGCATCCTGCGATTTCCTGCATAATTTTCTGCGTTTCTACTGTATTTTGCTACGGGAATTATACTACAGTCCTAAAAATCTTATTTCTGATCATGATAATTCATCACCTAATCATTATACCCTATTACTTCATTGATCAAACAACATAATTTATTCCATATGAAAATTCAACACAAAATTCAACACAGGTAACAGATAATTACACAACCCCGATCCTACATACTAACCATCATATTCCCGGTTATAAAATCCGAACCCCACCCTTACCTTTTGGTTTTTCGGTCGGTCGAATTCTCCGGTTGAAACTGCAACTGGTTTGACGGCAACTTCTCTAAATTTACTTGCCACCCACTTGGTGCCTCCAAAACCTTGTTTCTTCTACTGCTACGTGATAAGTGTTTTTGCTTGGTTGCTAACCTCTATATATTATAACCTAATATAATAATAGGTCTACTAGTAACTTTAATGGGCCTATTAATTCTATTCCTAATCTTGCTATTTCACACACCCCACTTGACCCAGCTAATAAAATAACATTCTACCAAAATCAACATTAAATCCAATAATAATTTCTCTTGACTAAATTGACTAATTATTCGATTAACCATTCTAACAATCCAATAATGCTCCTAATAATTATTCCGATAATTCCTTCTTCGACTAAATTACAATAATTTAAATCCTCAATAATTCATTTAAATAATTTAATGAATTTCTGGGCGTTACAACTCTCCCCCACTTAGAATATTTTCGTCCTCGAAAATTCATCCGACACCACTTCCCTTAACTTCGCCTCCACCTATAGCCTTCCGATATAATCACAACTTACTAAAATTAAAATCTAACGCACACGTGCAATTCTATTTCAACTCACCCAACAACAATAATAACAACTAACGAAGTTCTATCAATGAAACACGTACCTTTGGTACCTCTGTCCTCGTTTCCCATTGGAGTTTCCACCAATGCAAACACAAACAATGGTAAAAAAATAAGTAACAAGACTCGATTGTTAAAGACTCAACAACTTTGGTCAGACGGAACGACCTGCTCTGATACCACTAATGTAACACCCCAAATCTACCCTACAGTTATATTAAAATCAGAGTGCCAAAATTTCCGCAAACATGGGGCATTACATTCTCATTCCAAAAACCAACAACATAAAAACCTATCATAATAGATACATGACACATATTGATCCAAAGAACTTATAACAATTTATTAGTCTTCAAAAGTATTTCAACTTGATTCCATAAATATGCAGCGGATTCATAACTTTAAAACTTCAAAGGAAACATAGTATCTTTTAAACAACTTAATTCAAAGAAAACAACTTCTTAAAATAACAACTTGAAATAAACTTAAAACATCATAAAATCAAATAACCGTTCATCCCCCCCCCCCCCCCCGAGTGCTACGTATCAGAGCGACGAACCAATAAGCTACTAAGTCTCTACTCCTCGTTACCTGCACGTTACCAGTATAAAGGCAACGGCGAAACAAATAAAGGGGTGGAACATCGAATAATAAAAATAAGATTATGATAATTAATATATTAGACAAGAGCATTATAAACTTCACTGCTTCTCAACAACACACAACAATCAATAAACATTCACAATTATCATTAGCGATTCAAAGTGCAATTCGAATACGTCACAACTGTGCATATGCATGTGGTACCAACTGGGCTTCAGCCCTCTTCACTAATTGCCAATTAATAGAGGCACAAGGCATAAGCCTACTTCACAAATCTGCCAATACAGGCCTTCACAAAATGCAAATGTATTAGACTCATGTAACATATAAAATCACATATATATCATTCACCACAAACTTCATTATGAGGCATTCGCCTAAATCCCTGCATCACTGGCAATAAGCCTAACACTTCACATATTCAATCACATCTCAATCATCTCAAACATCTCAATTAACAACATCTCATAACATCAAAATAATTTATTAAACATCATTTATTCATCATAATTATCAAGCACAACTCTAATAATCACATCTCACTAATAACTCAGTTGTATATTAATAATACAGTTGGCCATACTATTATTCTGCAGTTCTACTTCACTCCTGTCATTAATCCTACCGTCATAATTCTAACAACAGCCTCTAACATCTCAAAATTCATCATTCTGTCCTAAAAACAGCACAACGGTCATTTACGGGAATTAATCCTAAGTCCTAAATTAGTTAGTGGAATTACACCTCTTAATCATCATTTTAATCATCTAAAATAGAGTTCATCGCGTTAGCTAGTCAACGCTTCGAACGACATCTCAAACAACATCATATAACTCAAGTTACAGCAACTTAAAAACTGATCCTGTCAAAATTATTCAGTATGCATCGACACAAAACACTATGCACCGACTCATCCTGCTTCTTCTTCACGCTATGACTCGACGCATCCCCCTATGGATCGACTCATTCTGCTTCAAAACCCAGCATGTAATGACACATGCATCGTACAGGTCGACTCATCCTGAGTCTCACACACTCATGCATCGACACATCCTTCCTTTGCATCGACTCATCCTGAGTCTTGTACTCATTATGTATCGACGCAACCCTCTATGCATCGACTCATCCTGAGTCCAGCAGCCTCCTTGCATCGACTCATCCAGTTTGAGGTCGATGCATCCTACGATTTCCTGCATGATTTTCTGCGTTTCTACTGTATTTTGCTACGGGAATTATACTACAGTCCTAAAAACCTTATTTCTGATCATGATAATTCATCACCTAATCATTATACCCTATTACTTCATTGATTAAACAACATAATTTATTCCATACGAAAATTCAACACAAAATTTAACACAGGTAATGGATAATTACACAATCCCGATCCTACATACTAACCATCATATTCCCGGTTATAAAATCCGAACCCCACCCTTACCTTTTGGTTTTTCGGTCGGTCGAATTCTCCGATTGAAACTGCAACTGGTTTGACGGCAACTTCTCTAAATTTACTTGCCTTCCACTTGGTGCCTCCAAAACCTTGTTTCTTCTACTGCTACATGATAGCTGTTTTTGCTTGATTGCTAACCTCTATATATTATAACCTAATATAATAATAGGTCTACTAGTAACTTTAATGGGCCTATTAATTCTATTCCTAATCTTTCTATTTCACACACCCCACTTGACTCAACTAATAAAATAACATTCTACCAAAATCAACATTAAATCCAATATTAATTTCTCTTGACTAAATTGACTAATTATTTGATTAACCATTCTAACAATCCAATAATGCTCCTAATAATTATTCTGATAATTCCTTCTTCGACTAAATTCCAACAATTTAAATCCTCAATAATTCATTTAAATAATTTAATGAATTTCCGGGCGTTACATTCAACCTCAACCAGAACTTGAAGCCCAAACTGACCTTGAACAAGTCATCATGGCAACCAGAAGCCATAAAAGACCAAAATGTACGTAACATACACCTTAACCAAGAACCTCAACCTTTTGATCATCACCTTTCTCCTTCTAGATAAGTAGATGTTGTGTTAGAATCTAGCATAATATCCATATCTAATCCCTCTACACCTCACCTCTATCAAAAGATGAACCTTCCACCTCATATCATATACCAAATGGAAGAGTTTAGCACTGTTATATTTGATAGGATTCAAAGTCTGGTTGTTGAGAGACTCATTGCATCTGATCACATAGCTTATGGATATAAATGGGACACTCTCAGGACCTTTGTGGATATAGTTCTACAAAATCTAAAGAGTTTTACCATTGAGTTTATAGCTTCTTCCAGTTAGAAGCAAGAGCACATAAAGGCTAAACTGGATTTTGTTACTATTACTCAAGAAGCTACGGGTGCACCTTAAGAATGTTGCTACTTCTAAAGTAGAGATGGGTACTCATATTCAATCAGTGGTTCCTAAGAAAGAAGAGATATATGTTCAGATGAAGACATTGGATGCTAAGCAAGATGAAATGGGTTCTGATCTTAAAGCTATCCTGGAGAATCTTAAGCAAAAATTGTAGGCTTTAGAATTTAGCAAACATTTTGTTTGTTTTGTCTTTATTTTGAACATGTTTTTTCAATTGGAATTTCTTCGTCTTTGGTTAATGAAATGTTTTCTTCAGAATATTTTCTTATTTTCTTATTTATATTCTTTTTGTTGATGATAAAAGGGGGAGTAGGATAATAAGTATTTAAGCTCCTAAATCTGACAGATTAATTTTTGCTTAAATTTTGAGGAATTATCATTTTGTGTTTTAATGATCAATTTAATTAACCTGGATAGAATTTAAGGGGAGCTTACAAAACTCAAACTTATGACTATCAGACTCAAGGGGATCTTACAAACCTCAGACCCTGAAATCAACTTGTTAATTAAATTAACAATAGTTATTCTTAAATACATGTGTTTGTCATCATTAGAAAGGGGGTTGTTATTGGAACATAATTGATTCGTACCATATCCCCAAGGTTTTGATGATAACAAAGTGTGTATACTAATTTTTGTTCAACAGTGCAGAACCATAGACTAAAATCTGTGACAAAAACTAAGTTTTAGTACTAGAAATTGAACATTAAAGAGAAGCTGAAAGAACTAGAATTTGAAGGATCGAAACTTGAAGATCATATTATGAAGAGCTCAACTTTTGAAGACTAGAGTCTGAAGAAAGCCAGCCTTTGAAGATCCAGATTCTGACTCAGAAGAGGTCAACTTGTGAAGATCAAAATTTGAAGAAAGTAAACCTCTGAAGATCCAGACCCTAACTCTGAAGTCATTCAAAGCGCTAGGATCAAGAAACTTTGATAGGTGAAGATCACGTGAAGATCTTGGAATTTCATTTTGAAGCTACGAAATTTTAAATGACTTCTGCCAGACATTAACCATATCAGAAAGTTTTAATGTCTCTGATGATGCTTCTCTACAAAACTTATTGTGCATGAAGCCTTCTTCAACGACTCTTTTATGTTCCTCTATTTAAGGAACCGGAGATATTAAGAAAACTACAACATTGCGCCTTGACAACTAAAGAGTCGTTATTCTGTCAAAAAATAGCATAAGTTTAACTTAGAATTTCTTAACACTTGTATATTCTAGAAATTCTTATGTCTTAGAGTCTTTATGTGTTGTATTTAGTTTACACATATGATTGTATATCAAGTGTATCATTTAAAAAATCTTTATTTCTAAGTTAGATTGTAAAAGTCTCTTGCTTGTGTGCTTGAGCATCTGAAGTTTTCATCCCGTGTGCTTGAGAAGTTGAAGTCTCTTACTTGATTGTTTGAGCAAAAGAAGTCTCTTGCTTATGTGTTTGAGCATCTAAAGTCTCTTGCATGTATTCTTGAGCATTATAAGTATCTTACTTGAGGGTTTGAGCATTGGAAGTCTCTTACTTGTGTGTTTGAGATCATTGTAATCAAAAGTGATTATAGTGAAATTCTCTTGTAGTACAAGGAGACTGGACTACTTCTGATTTGTGGGAGGAACCAGGATAATTGCTTGTGTCTTTCTTTACTTAAATATCTATCCTAAATCAGATTCTACTACTTGTGGTCAGAATCTGTTAAAAGAGTTTTTATAAAAAAAAGCTAACACAATTCAACCCCTTCTTGTTTTTTCTCACTTTCATGCATATTGTATGAATGGTAGAGAGGAACCATTATCCTCCTCTAGTTTTATGAAAATTCTAACCATTGTTGATATTTGTGTGTTCTTGAGAGGAATTGGTATGAAATGCTTTATCGTTGTGATGATTAGTATGAATTTCGTGTACTGCTTTATGCTGAAAGTGATGCATGATATGATTATGTGGATTGGTATGTGTTATTGGTGCTATTATCATAAACTTAAATTCATGACAAAATAATGGATTAGGTGTTGTTGGCTGAAGATTTTGATAATGTTATTAGAAGCCAAATGAATTAAACGTTTTGATCGAGATGAGGTAAAGCGTCATGTTTCGAAGTAGCAGAAGCAGTGTTTCGAATAAGTATGTCAAAGCTTGGAGCTTCGAGTGGCAATTATGGGAACATATCTAAAGAAGTCTCGAAATAACAACAAGGCTGTGTTTGGGAAGAGCGTTCGAAACAGAGAAGTACCAAAGCATTTGAAATTCAAATGGAAGCGGGACTTTCGAAGTTTGAAAGTTATGTGCTGGAGCATTTGGGGACACGTGGAAAGATGAAAGAGGCATTGTCCTGCATGTTCTAAATGTGGCATAATCCTATAGCAAGACCGTTATGGTCGAATTAGTATAAATAGAAGTCTTAGTATTAGGATTTGGGGTGTCATATCTATTATACAAAATACTCAGTAACATTCAAACTACCACATGGCAAGGGAAACGAATGCAAGAGAAATGTATGTATGATAGCACCATGTATTTCTGATTTAATGAAAACCTTTTACCATTTCCAGCACTTTCCTTTATCCTTTTGTCAAATAACATTTACAAGTTTTCTCATTTACAGTCTTTTTCACTTCGAAATCTCTTCTTCAAAGTTTTACATTTTAATGTTTTCTTCATATTTCAAGCACTTTATATCTCAGAAAACTGTCATATTTTCCATACCTTTACCTTCAAGTCTTATCCTTCGAACGTATATTTTTACTTAAAGTCATTTAAAGATTTCTTGCATTAAACGCTTTCTTCATATTTCAAACCTTTTACGTTCCAGAAATCCTTTATATTAACTGTTTTGTAAGTCGAAACCATTTACTTCACTTTTATGCAATTTTACATGTCTTTACAATTAGCATTTATTCATGTAACTTAGTTTTCACACACACATTTTAATTACATCTTTAGACTTTTAGAGAGAGAAATCGAAATAAGCCAAACACATATACAATATCAACCATGAATATCTGTTCGATCGTGAGAGTAACCTTAATATCCAAGGAGTCCTAGGATCAATCTAGTCGATCCTGTGAGTTACCAGAGGAATTGAATAACAGTCAGAAAGATTATTCGATAGTTTGGAAGACTAGCGGTTGTTTACCAGAAATCACTGGAAACAAATTGGCACACCTAGTGGGACCAATAATTGGATATTAGAAATAAGGATTGTTGAGACATAACCATTACAAAAACGTTGGAACCTAAGAAGTTTGTTGTTTTATGAACCTGGGAAGTGGTAAGATAACCAACAGCAACCAACCTTTATCCAGAAGAAAACGTTTGGACAAAATGTCTAATTCAGACAATCAACAACGGGACCAAAATGGCCCACATACAACAGGCACTAATGCGTCCACTTCAATCGGAACATCTAATGTAATCCCTTCGAATGCACAGTCTGTTGCATCTTCGACCAGTAACATAGCCACCAATGGAGTAAGTGGCATATCAACTAATAGTTCGATCTTAGGAAATACTGGAACCATTGGCTACCCTGGGGGATTCGTTCCACCATCAGGGACACAATCCCATTTCGCCACTCCATTAACTAGACCACCCGGTTTCGATGGGAATAGAACCAGAAATTCCTCTTATGGAATGCCAACATCTTTTATGGCAGGTTTACACAATTCCACATCGAATTCATCTCCACAACTAGGGTCTGGGTCTGGGGCGAATCAGTTTATGACAAATAACCAAGGGTCGGTGGGTTATAGCACAATGCCTATCTTAACCACAGACAACCAGTTGGCTTTTAGGCAATTGATGGATGACAGTAACCATAATATGATAGGGGTGTTAGCACAAACCATGCAGGAGATATTTGCCCCAATAGTGCAAAATGTGACTGTGACAAACAGAGAAAACGCTGACAATATGAGTCGAATAGCAGATTTCTTTGCTCCCCCAGAAAGGCGTAGGCAGAATCAGGCGGGATTTCGAGCAAACATGCCTGTTATAGAACAAATTGCTAACGACCCGATTTATAGACCACCCAGAGAAGAAGTTAACTTAGGGGCCAGGGCACCAAGGTTAGAAGCCCCAATAATCCCGGGCCCACAAAGGGAAATTATGGAACCAGGGGCAAGGGTCGAAAGGCTAGAAGCCCCAGAGTTTCGAGAAGAACAACCTAGGGGAGTTGTTTTGGTTGGTCGAAATCAAGATGCCGATGCTGTCGTTCATAGAATTCGAAACGATAACATCTTGGCAGAAAACAACCTAACCACCATGATAGAGAGAGTCATGGCCCAGAATGGCCTCAACACATGAATGAGAAGGCCAAATTACGCTTCTCCTATATTGGATTGCATAATGCATACTGATTTACCAAGGGGATATAAAGTCCCTAAATTTACAAAGTTCGCTGGGGATACCAATGAGTCAACAGTCGAACACATAGCGAGATATCTAACCGAAGCGGGAGATATAGCCAATAATGAAGATCTCAGGATCAAATACTTCCCAAGTTCCTTGACAAAAAACGCCTTCACATGGTTTACCACTTTGCCTCCTGGGTCCATTGACACTTGGGCTCTCTTAGAGAGATTATTCCATGAACAATTTTACATGGGACAGTCGAAAATAAGTTTGAAGGAATTGGCCAGTGTTAAGAGAAAGTTCACCGAACCCATAGATGATTATTTGAATAGATTTAGGCTTTTGAAATCCAGATGTTACACAGTAGTGCCTGAACATGAGTTAGTCAAAATGGCCGCTGGTGGCTTGGATTATTCTATTCGAAAGAAACTAGACACTCAGTATTTGAGGGATATGGCTCAGTTAGCCGATAGGGTTCGACAGGTCGAAAGACTAAAGGCCGAAAAAGCCAGAGTCTTTAAGAATAGCAAGAAAGAAAGGATTTCCTATGTTGGGACTGAGGAAGCAGAAGAATATCCTAAATTCGAATTCGAAGAGGTCGAAATCGACCTCGCTGAATTAAAACAGGCCCCGCCTTATTCCTGCAAATTGTTAGTTCCCACAAAAGGGAAAGACATTGTTGAAAATGAAAAAAGTGACAAATTTCCAAAGAAGGTTTATACCTTCGATGTCACTAAATGTGACGAGATTTTTGACTTACTTGTCAAAGATGGCTAACTAATTGTGCCATCAAATGTCAAAATACC